TTGATATTTGACTTGAAGAGAACCTAAAAATGATGCTGCTCTAAAGTGGGCTGAGTAAGGAAAGAAATGTCCTTCAGAAACTTTCTAAGTTTTAACCGACAGTAAGAGGAGCAACATCAACAGTATTGTTAAATGTCCACAGGAGCTGATTCACTGCTGCTGTTTGTAACATTGTGTTTAAATTTTTAGTGAGGAGATTGAGAGGAAAACCAGAGAGACTAAAGAGAAATTAGTCTGAAAATAATTCTTCATTGTCTAATTTCCACAGGACACAGATGAAGCAGATGATGTCAACAGAGTGACGGAGGTTCAGGCATCATGAACCTCAAGGGGACAAGTAGGATGTATAATCCTTAGTTAAAGGGTCTCCATTCTTCATCCATCAATCAAATGAAACTTCAAGGTTACAGCAGGAACTGGTGTCTGTCTGCAGCCGTCATCAGGCCAGAAGAGGAGGCCCACCTGGACAGCTCACCAGTTCATCACAGGACCAACCATTGGGTCATGAAGTCATTAATTATTGCTTTCTGTTAATTTTGACTGTGCATGTGTTAGAAAATAAAATGTAATACTTTAGTGAATCATTTCGCTGTAAATTCTGATTGATTCGCAGAACAATGCCTTGAATGATGTTTTTAATGTTACTCTAAATGTGGTATTACAGAAGTGTTTGATAGTTTTACATGATATCAGATTTTTTTAGTTTTGTCTAGGATAGAATCTATTTGATTTTTTTTAAATAAAATACTAATTATATTCAAATAAACTTGAACAGAGAATTTACTATAAAATACTTTACATAAATAAAGGGTCAAAATGACTTCGACGACTTTTACTCTCATTTTGTATACACAAACTGTATTTAAAATTAAATTTCGTTTTGTACAGCTTCAGAACATTTCCATTCCTGTCATGTTTAGGTTTACAGAATCTGAATAAGAGCAACCACGGAGGCAAGAATCAGTTAAAGGGTTTTATTGAAGGTTTGAGGTTGTACAGAGTGAAGTCCGGCAGGCAGGGTTTTCAGGATACTGCTGGAAGAGGTTAGGTGACAGGTGATCAACAGTTCAGTGCTGATTTAAGAGTGAGGGATGTATGTGACTCACAGAGAGGGCGGCTTGGCGTCCGTCTAGGGAGGATAGTGACCAGTGGTCCAGGCGAATGGTGCAGGTCCAGTGGGTGAGATCTGAGGGTGGACAGGCAGGCGAGCTCAGGCAGGAGGCCTTTAATAGTTCAGAGGCCCGTAGCCTCACTGGTTCTTTGAGGCTGACTGAAACGACTCTGACAGGAGTCCAGAGCAAAGAGGTCTCTGTGGAGTGGTTTCAGGCTTGGGATCCTGGGTTCTAGGAGAAGGAGCAAGAGAGCACAGGGTTAGGTTTAGGCAAAGCTAAGAAGCAAGGTTTGGTAAAGGATCAGTTGTACCACGCTAGAGCATTAACAAACTGACGCCCTCCTCCTGGTTCCAGGTCCTTAAGAAAGGTGGGAATCAGCTTGATGAAGAGCACCTGCCCATCCAGCCCTGCAGAGAGAAAAAAAGGAAAAACCGGCCTGCACCCAGTCCTAGAAGTATGACAATTCCAAAAAGTGCAGCAGTGATTAAATGTAAACAGTGTGGGAGAAAAGACATTGTGCAAAAAACCATTGATATGGAAGTTCAGAGTATTTATATATATGGTTCAAATATGCATTATTTTGGTTTGGTGTTATCAGTGTAATGCAGAGTCTGTGACATGATTTTAGAGGTTTTTTTCAACAGTTCAGCTGTCTGATGGAGGTTGGGAAGAAGCTTGTTGCAGAATCTATTGGACCTGCATCGAATGCTGCGAAGCCTCTTCCCAGAGGGCAGCAGGGAGAACAGTCCATGGTGTGGGTGTGAGGGGTCATTGATGATATTACGGGCTCAGGACATGCAGTGCTGGGTCTCAGGCTAAATTAAGCTTCTATGTGCAACTGTATGGGTGTATAGGGGACAGTTAGGAGTTTAATTTCTACAAATATTGTCTTTTTAATACTAGCAAACATGGTGGGTCAAATATGTAGTTTCTCACAGCTCATAATTATTTCCATCTTCATCAAGGCATAAACAATTAAATTAGTCTCAAAACTCCTTTCTGGGCCCCTAACCTGTTGGAGATGCTATCTTTAAATGGCTATGAACTCTAGTAACAAACAGATGAAAAAATATGCATCTTTTTAATTACAGTTAACCTGAGTGCAATGCTCCCTATAATAACCTGTAGCCTTTTATTGGTGATTGTTTCTATCTGTATAGATCTACACCCACAGCAGGAAGTCAACAAGAGCATCAGTAAAAATATTCAACATGCATGTGTGACACACTAATGTGTATTTAGATTATTATTTGTTTGATTTTAAGAGAAAGACTAACTTATCAGTCAGGTAATATTTTGTTTGAGTTGTAGTTTTCTTCTTTGAGTTGTAGTTGCACCTTCACACCAGAAGGTGGCACATTACTCCATGACACGGTATAGTGAGGTCATAGGCTCTCCTTCAATATGGCTAGTTGCCTGTCTCATTCATTCTCCTGTTGTACAGGAACATTCAATCTGCCTAACAGGCCCAAAGCTCGGTGTAGGAACCAGATCTGCTCAGATCTGCCCCTTCTTATGACGTCAACATATGGCAACTCCACTCGAACAAACTGTATTGCACCCGTTTCTTAAGGATCAAATCTCTTTTGGAGTCTCAACATATTATTACCCATACTTGCAATTATTTCACATTTCAATGATGATCTAAAGTAGCCAAAACTAAAAACAATCATTGTCAGTGTTAAAAGAAACTACCGGTACTGCCTTCTGAGACAGAATGAGCTCTGCCATTTAACTTGGTGACACAAGAAGTCTCAGTTTATTTTTATTCTTTTTATTAAGATCTTAGGGCAGGGCAGCAGATCTGGTACCTACACAGGTTCTGTTACACCTGCATGCATGGCTACACACTGTTCAATACATCTGGATTGTTTTGTGCCATTATTCTTGATTTCAGAGAACATCAGATTTTAGTAGAAAAACCCACAGAAGTCTTTGAACATTAAGAGCAAAGTCTAAATGTCAAAAAGAATAAAAAAATATATATAGTAAAGAATTAAAGTTTGCAGGAATAATACTGATTATTTTAACAAGTGACTTTGGAGTAGAAGTATTTATGGAAACCCTTAAATTGTTGTCGTGAAGGTAACTCTATAACTGTATGGCGACAAAGCATTTCTTCTTTTTTCAATTTCCTCCCTTGAACAAAGATTTATAGAGAAATGTTAAGACTTGAAGTGATGGCTGTTTGAGTGCAGAGAAAAAACCTGAGAAACTGAAGTAAAAACGAGAAGCTAAAGCTTGAGGTTTTTTTGGTTCTGCAGGAGGTTCTAATTGAGAACAGGCACTGATGCCCTTATATGGTAAAAGATAAATATGTGTATTTTCCAGGATCTTTTTGGTTTTTTCAGATTTTGTGATCTAGCATTGATTGAGGCAGCTGTGCAATGCTAAATGATCAACTTTTATCATATTTAGTTTATGTCTCTTAGCTCTGTGTTAAAACACCCTTCATGAGATGACTTTATGCAGTGGTGAGAAAGAGCTGACTTCCTCTTTACAAACCATGAAGGATGGAGACTCCTTTAAATAGCAAATGTGGTAACAGAGAAGGCTGCTGTTTATTCTGCTGCTGATCAACTGATCTGACCAGATCAACTGGTTTGAAAACTAAACAGTTTTTTGCCTACCGAAGAAATTCAGGTGAGTTCACATTTCTGACTCTGATCATTTAACCAAATATTTCAACAGGCTTTTTCATTTTTAAGTTTAAATATTTACAGCACATTGAAAGCTGCTTGCTACGAGCTGAAGGTCTAATTTCAGATCCACTGTAATAAATTAGTTAAATGTTTGGTTTCTAGGGTCTGAATCTGATGGCAGCTCTGTCTGCGAATCTGCTGACAGTCAACATGTTACTGAGTGTCTTCTTTCCTCCAGGTGAGCTGATTGTTCACTTCCTTTCATTTCAATGGATCTTTTTTAGTCTGAAATATTAGATCCTGATGTTGTTTAAAGGCTCCACATGCAACATGCAGATCAGATTTTGCTCCACATCATGTTCATCATTTGTCAATTTTTAGAGGTGCTTTGGCTGATTGTGGTGGTATAAAACCAGCCCTCAGAATCACTACACCAAAGAAGATTGAAGCTCTGAGTGGATCTTGTTTAGAAATCCCATGTATCTATGATACAAACGATACCAGATATGACAGCAGCAGAACTATCTATGGAGTTTGGATGAAAGGTGGTACCAAATTTGGCTTTGACCTAAAGATTATTATTTTCCACAGCAGTGGGTTAGTTAACACCTATTCACTGAATATTACTGGAAACCTGAGAGAGAAAAACTGCACCACTCTGTTTCCTGATGTAAAGACCAGTTATGCAGACAAATACTTCTTCAGGATTGAGAACGAGCCGTTCAAAGCATCAGCTTGTGATGATCCTCTCAATATAACAGATAAAGGTAAGAGAATTTCAATATTATCAGTCTATGACATTAATGTTCAGAAAAACTCACACTGGTTTAATAGAAATTAACAGAAAACACACTTATATGTGATGTAGTGTTTAATCAAACCTCATGAATATAGTCCAATATCTGCTTAAAATAATTTTTGTTTCTGCTCTTCTTCTCTTTATCTTGCTGCAGCTTTAACATTTGAAAAATAACTCTCTATTGGGAAAATAATTTATAAAAAAGTTTAATAAGGTAGATTTTGTTTAGCCTGACTCTGCTTAGAGAAGTAAACCAAATGTTTAAATGATCTAATTAGACGAAGTTAATGGATCATTAAATCAAATACTGCCAACATTTTTGACACAATCAGTTGATAAATATTTTCACATTTCTTCTGTGTATAAAAATAGATGATATATAAACAGCTTAACTAATTAGCAGTCCACTATTAAACACAGTTGTTTTTTTTTTATTTTGATTCCCAGGTTCTCCTTGGAGTCCCAGCATTAATATCCCTGTTGGTGATCTGAAGGAGCATCAGTCTGTTACTATAAGCTGCTCAGCTTTGACTCCCTGTCCACACTCACCTCCTGAACTCACCTGGAATCTCCAACAAGACTCTGACAGACAAACAGAGAAAAACTCAGATGGAACCTTTACAACTAAAATCCAGGAGACCATCACTCTGTCAGACACACATGATGGATACAACATCAGCTGTTCTGCCAGATATCCTGTGAATGGAGGAAGCAAGACAGCAGAGACAGAAGTGACTCTCAGTGTTTCATGTTAGTGATCCTGTCAGCACGTCATGGTTCAGCTGTTTCTGATCAATAAAGTTAATGTGTGTCCCATTTTCCTCAGATGCTCCTTAAGACACCTCAGCATCCATCAGTCCATCAGGTTTGGTGTCAGCAGGTAGCTGGGTGGAGCTGAGCTGCTCCAGCAGAGCCAAGCCTCCTGCCAGCTACACCTGGTTCAGGAACAGCAAACATGGAGCCATTAATGTATCTGTGGGGCAGGTTTACAGCTTCAATGTTACTGAGGGAGGAGAGTATTACTGTGAGGCTACAAATGATCTGGGGACTCAGAGATCGTCAGTGATTCTACTTAATACTGAAGGTACATTGTTACTATTGATTTTTAATGAATCCACATTTATATGCCCAGAAAGTTAAATGTATCTAATCTAAGGGCCTTTTGTGTTAAATTTTAAAAACAGTTCAAAAGTTGAGTTGTTGAATAATTCAAATGTAAAATATTTTAAGCTAAAAAAATATTGCAAGTGAGTCCCAGTTGTTCTCTCAATGTTTCATTTTTATTCTTTGCATAAAAATCCTAAATCTATCAAACATTTCTTTAATCCAGTGCCAGGAGTCAGTCTCTGTGTTATATTGAAGATCCTGGGGATCATAATGCTCTGCAGTGCAGTCTGCATCTTTCAGTGGTGAGACTCATTTTACTATGAGTTGATTTTTTGAGCTGCAGACCTGCTGGTCTCTGCTACATGTTCGTCCACATTATTTTTATTCTTTCAGCTGGTTTAGATTATCCAACAAACAAGCAAAGAAGGTAAGCCTGTTTATATTCAATGTGTAAAATTTATTGAAAATGCTTGAAACAGAAATCGGAAACTTTTATTTCAAGTTTTTATTCATACATTTAAAGTTACAATGTTGGTTAAAATGATTTTTTCATCATTAGCAAAGCAAATAATAATGCTTGATTTCCTGAAGCAATAATTTTAATGTATGGTTGTTAAACCTGATATTTGACTTAAAAAGAACCTAACAATGATGCTGCTGTAAAGTGGGCTGAGTAATGAAAGAAATGTCCTTCAAAAACTTTCTAAGTTTTACCATCAGTCAATATTTCTTGATTGTTTAATGTCCACAGGAGCTGATCCACTGCTACTGTTTCTAACATAGTCTTTAAAACTTTATTGAAGAGATTGAGAGGAAAACCAGAGAGACTAAAGAGAAATTAGTCTGAAAATAATTCTTCATTGGCTAATTTTTTACAGGACACAGAAGAAGCAGATGATGTCAACAGAGTGATGGAGGTTCAGGCATCATGAACCTCAAGGGGACAAGTAGGATGTATAATCCTTAGTTACGCAGACGACACCCAACTGTATGTCAGCACTACGCCCTCCTCACAACTCCCACAAATACAACTTAACAACTGTCTCCTTGATATCAAAACCTGGATGACCAACAACCTTCTGAAACTCAACACCCACAAAACCGAGCTCATGGTGGTGGCCCCAGCACCGCTGCTCAGGAAGGTTGGAGACCTCACCTTGGTCATTGATGGCTGTCCCACCTCCCCATCGCCCAAAGCGCGGAACCTGGGTGTCATTTTGGACTCCACACTCTCACTCAGTTTCCACATACAGAGCATCACTAAATCTGCCTTCTTTCATCTCCGTAACATCTCAAGACTCCGGCCTTCACTTACCGACTCAGTCACCGAAACTCTCATTCATTCATTTGTCACCTCCCGTCTGGACTACTGCAATGGTGTCCTGTCTGGGCTGCCCAACAAAGCCCTAGACAGATTGCAGTACGTCCAGAACTCAGCTGCCAGGGTGTTAACCCACACCAAGCCCTGGCAGCACATCACCCCCATCCTCAAGAAACTCCATTGGCTGCCAATCAAACAACGCATCAGCTACAAAATCCTCCTCCTCACTTACAAAGCACTTCATTCTCTGGCACCCAAGTACATCACTGACCTTCTTCACCCGCTCACTCAGTCACGGTCCCTGCGCTCCACCAGCAAGAACTTACTTTCCATCCCCCGTACCAGACTCAAGACCTTTGGCGACAGGGCTTTCTGTGCAGTGGCCCCGGCTCTTTGGAATGCCCTCCCCCCTCCTATCCGTTCCGCAACTTCCCTGACACAGTTCCAAAAGCACCTTAAAACACACCTTTTCTCTCTTGCCTACCCTTCCTAACCCCCTCCCTGTCCCTACCCCCCCTTACTTCACCTCCTGTAAAGCGACCTTGGGTGTCCTGAAAGGCGCTATATAAATCAAAGTTATTATTATTATTATTATTAGTTAAAGGTTCTCCATTCTTCATCCATCAATCCAATGAAACTTCAAGGTTACAGCAGGAACTGGTGTCTGTCTGCAGCCGTCATCAGGCTAGAAGAGGAGGCCCACCTGGACAGCTCACCAGTTCATCACAGGGCCAACCATTGGGTCATGAAGTCATTAATTATTGCTTTATGTTAATTTTGACTGTGCATGTGTTAGAAAATAAAATGTAATACTTTAGAGGATCATATTGCTGTAAATAATGCTTGATGAGCAGAACTGGAATAATGTTATTAATGTTACTCTAAATGTTATAGTTTTACATAATATTTAAAATTCTTGTTTTGGCCCAGGATTAAATCATTAATTTAATTTTTCCAAATAAATTTTTTACCAAATTAAAATAAATCTGAACACAGTATTTAAAGTATTTTATGCAAAT